CTGTGGGGAGTGGGTCGAGGCGTCTGGGGGGCGACGCCATGAGAGAATCATGACGTCGAGGGTCTGGGGTGGACGAGGCGGTGCGCCCGGCGGGCTTCGGTGGCCGCCGAGGCCCGGGCAGTTCCCTACGTTCCACACCGTCTGGAAGGTCTCCACCGACCTGCGCCCCGGGGGCGCACGCCCCGCGCCCGCCCCGCGCCCGGGCCCCTCGCGCCAGCCTCTGGGGGACGACGAGGGACCGCCAGAGGAGGGCGCAGGAGGAGGGGGGTGCGCCGCGGGGAGCAGAAGCGCAGGCGCAGGGGGAGAGGGCACGCGAGAGCGAGTGGGAGCGCAGCCTCAGTGAGGAGCGTACGCGCAGAAGGTGGTGAGAAAGCGTAGGCGCAGGAGGAAGTGGATGCGTGGGCGCAGGAGTGGTGGGATGTGCGGGAGAAGGGCGTGTGTTGGTGCGGGGCTTGGAGGAGCGTGCAGGAGCCTGGCATCCAGCACGCTCCCCCAACCGCGCGCCTCCTCCTCCTCCTCCTCGACCTCCTCCTCCTCCTCCTCCTCCTCCTCCTGATCCTGCTCCTGATCCTGCCTACTTGTCCTCCTTCTCATGATCCTCCTGCTGCTCCTCCTTTGCGCAGGCCAGGTGGCCCGAGGCCGCTGATCCACGCCTGCCCCTTGAGAGCCTCCAGAAGCGAAGGCAGAGGCAGGGAGGCCCGGGCCGAGCACCGCCACCGGCCACGGGCAGACACCTGACGTAGCCCTTGGCCTCTGGGCCTCCCGCCCCTCCCCCAAGACGAAGCCAGAACGAGGATAACATCGGGGAGGATGAAGCGAGAATCTCTGAGATCCAGCGGTTCTGGAGAATGTCTCGGGCGCCGCGGCCTTCTCAGAGCGTTCCGGAACGCTCTGGGAGTGTGTCGGACCGCTCTGGAACGGATTTGTCCTGGTCCTAGCCCCTCCCGATCCCATCCCACTTCCCTCTCCGCCCCCCGCTTTGCAGACCTACCCACCCCTGCGGTCAGAATCTCTTGCGGCCCCAGCGACTCGATATGCGCCGCATGGCGGATGGCGCCGTCGCCCCGCCCCGAGAGGCGGGAGTCCGGGAAAGGCTCGGGACGACGGCGGTCGGACATGGGAGAAGGGGCCAGCACGTCGCGCCGAAGCGGAGTGGCGCGACAGGCCAACCGAGCGACGACAGCGCCCGATCGGCGGCACGCCGCTCTAACCGAAAATTCCGGACCATATCCCCGCCCGCCCCCGTTCCGACCTTCATCCTCTGCCCTCCGTATCCTCCTCCTCCATTTTGCAGCAGCATCCGAAACGACCGAACCCATTCGATGAGCGAGAGGACATGTATGTAAATACATGTGTATATGCATACATTTTTATATATGTAGATATACATGTGCACAGTGCATGTGTACACACATATATATATATATATACTAGAACCATCGCGCGCGCTTCGCGCGCGCTCAGGTTCTAGCCCAGACTGGGGGCGCGCTAGAAGATCTTGGACAGCGATATCAAGCACAGGCGCGTGACATAGTCGTGCCTCCAGAGGGCCTCTTGAGAACCTCTTGGGTCTTCGTGGGGGCATCTGAAGGGCTTCTGGGGGGTTCTCCGTGCTTCCTCAATTGGCTGTTGGAGGCACCTCTTGGGTGTTTCTCGGGGGGGCATCTTGGGGCTTCTTGGGGCCCCTTGGGGGCATCGTCAGGGTTCTCTGGGCAGTCGGAAAATGATGTTCTGCAGTCTGAAGCAGTCAATTGGCCGTCTTGGCTGCATGGAGGCCCGGCTTGAGGCCACATTGGGGCAATCCAGAATTCCCGAAGCCTCCTTGAAGCAATTTAGATGCATCGAGAGCCCTGTTCGGCTATCTTGGGGCCCCGGGTACGTCTCCTGTGAGCCTTTTGGGGCCTGGTTGGGGGCATTGGGATGCCTCGTCGGACCACTTGGGGACTCTTGGGGCCTCCTGTGGGCCTCTTAGGGCGGAAAGCTCTGCTGTTGGGTTCGCGTTCCCCTTCTTGGGGCTCTCTTGGGGCCCTCTTGGGGCCCTCTCGGGCCGTCTTGGGCGCCTCGGGCACCGTCTTGGGGCCCTCGTGGGCCGTCTTGGAGCCCTCTTGGAGGTCTCTTCGGCTATCTTGGAGCGGTCGTGGGGGCCACTTGGGCCGTCTTGGAGCGTCGGGATGCCAAAAGGCTGGGAATCCTAAAATCCATCAAAAGCCGATGGGACGACAATGCTTCTTGGAACCTCTTCGGCCTTCTGGGGGGCTTCTTGAGGGCCTCTTGGGTCCCATTTGGGGGCCTCTGGGGCTTCCTGAGAGTCTCTCAGGGTGAAGGCTCGGATTTACGGTTCGTCTTACCCCTCTTTGGCCCCCCTTGGGGCCGTATTGGTGCTTCCTCGGGCTGTCTTGGGCCCTGTTGGAGGCCTCTTGGGCTATCTTGGATTGGTCTTGGAGGCCTTTTGGGCCGTCTTGGAGCGTCAGGACGCCATAAGGCTGAAAACTCTAACACCAATCAAAAACCTATGGCAAGACATGGATGTTTGCCTCTTGGGGCCTTCGTGGGAGGCCTCTTGGATACTCTTCGGCCCCCTGGGGGGCTTCTTGGGGCCTCTTGGAGCCTGTCAGAGGCTTCTCGGAGCCTCCTGAGAGCCTCTCGGGGTGGAAGACTCGGATTTTCGGATCGTGTCAACCCTCTTGGCTCCATCTTGGGGCCGTCTTGGGGCCCTCTCGGGCCGCCTTGGCGCCGGCTTGGGACCCCCTGTGGGCTGTCTTGTGACCGTCTTCGAGGCCCCTGGGGATGCCTTGGAGCGGAAATTAAAGCCTCTTGGGCCGTCGTGGAGCGTCAGGAAACTCAAAAGGCGAGAACTCGAAAATCTATCAAAAACCAAAGGAAAACACATTAGTTGTGCCTCCTGGGGCTCCTTGGGAGCCATCTTGGAGACCTCTTGGGGCGTCTTGGAGGCTTCTTGGACAGTCAGGGACCAATTCTGGGGTGATCTCGGGCGGTCATTGGTCGTTTTCGTTGTCTGGAAACGCCAGGGCCGTCTTCGGGCGACTTTACAAGGCCTCCAGCGCCACGGCAGGGCCCCCCCGTGCGAGGGCCCCGTCCCGGGCCCCGCCTCGTGCCCGCGGCAGGGCGTCCCTGGGCCGTCTCGGCGCCCTCGTGGGGGCCTGTTAGTGCGACATTGGGTGTCTGAAATCATCAAAAACCTAAGGACAATCAATGATTTTGGCGTCCCTTTGGGCCGTGTTGGAAGCCTTGTGGGCCGTCCGGAGGCCATTTTGAGCGTGTTCGAACGATGTGTCCTCGTTTCGGGGCCTCTTGGGGGCCTCTTGCGGCCCTTTTCGTCTGTGTTGGGGCTTTCTTGGGCCGTCTGGGGGCGACCCTGGGCTGTCGGGGTGTCGTTGGGCGCCTCCGGAGGCTTCGGGGCCTGACGCGTTTCCGAGCGTGGCGGCAGGTAGCGCTGCTTGGGACTGTCGTTTCTTTGTTTTATCCTGGCAGGCGTTTATAAACATGGTTTGGGGAGAGGGCGGCGATCCGAGAATCATGTTCCCGGGAAGCTTTCCGGGAGCATGATTTATTCGGCTCTCTTAAGAGGGGGGTCTCTGGGGGATTACCGAGGGGCCCTTTTGGGCCTTATTGGCAAGCCTATTGGAAACAAGGTTGGGGCGGTGGGCGGAAACCCACGGAATCATGTTCCCGGAAAGCTCTGGGAAATACGATTTGCCGAGGTCTCTTGGGGGCCCGCAGGGGGCTGCCTGCAGGGAAGCTCCCTGCAGGGAAGCCCCCTGCAGGGAAGCCCGCAAGGGCCCCCCATGGGGGACCCTTGGGGGCTTATTGGGGCTTCCAGGGGGCCTCTTGGGAGCCTCACGGGGCTTCTTGGGAGCATCTTGGTGGCCTCCGGGGGCGTCCTAGGAGCCTCTCAGGCCGGAGACCTTGAAATGTCGCTCTCTTCGGGCCCTCTTGGGGTGGCTCTTGGGGCTCTCTTGGGGCGCTCTCGAAGCCCTCTTGAATTATCTGGGGAGCCTCCTGGGCCGTCTCTGGTCTTTCCTTGGGAGCCTCTTCGGCCGTCTTGGAGCGATCTGAAGGGCCTCTGACGCCGTCCAGGACCGTGGGGAGGCGGAACATGCGAGAGCGCAAAAATGCGGGGCCCTTTGGAGGGGCCTCTGGAGGCGCTCTTGGGGCGTTTTGGCGGCGTCGTCGGCCGTCCTGAGGCCATCTTCGGCGTGTCCGGGGCCTCTTGGGGCTGTCTTGGCAATCCTTAGGGCCCTCTTGGCGTGTCGTGGCATGTTTGGGAGCGGGCCCGGGCAGTCCCGGGAGCCCTGGGGGCTGTTGAATGCTAGGTGTTGGCTTGGAGGCGGAGGCTGTTGAGTGCAGGGTGGCGCGTGCTACGCGGAAGGCGGGCGAGCGGCCGGGCGGGCGGCGGGCGGGCGGGTGGCGGGCGGGCGGGCGGGCGGGTCGGGATTTGAATGAATTCCTTAAGGGTGCTCTCTTGCAGCGGGAGCTTGTTGAGTACAGGGTGTTGCCTTGAAGACGGGGGCTGTTGACTACAGTGTGTTGTCTTGGCGACTGAAGCTGTTGAGTACAGAGTGGTGTGTGCTACGCGGACGGCGGGCGGGCGGCGGGTGCCCTAGGTGGTGGGTCAAAGGCCTCATGGGTGTTGGTTTGGATCTCGTGGTTGGCCTGTCGGGGACGTCGTGAAGGCAGTTTCGCAGCTTCTCGGTAGCCATTTTGAGACCGTTGTGGGACCTCCTCGGGGCTGTTTTGTGGCCTCTTGAGGCCTTGTTTGTGTCTCCTGGGTGCCTCTCGGAGGCCTCCTGGAGCCTCTGGGGGGCTCCCTGTCCCTGGGGCCTCCTGGGGCACTCTTCAAGAGGGAAGGTCGAATTTTGGAGTCGTGGTCCCCCTCTTGGGCGCATCTTGGGGCCGTCTTGGGGCTCTCTGGGGCGCCTCTGGGGCCGTCTGGGGGCCCTCTTGTGCCGTCTTGGGGCGTTCTTGGGGGCCTATGGAGCCGGCCTGGAACGTCGGACAGCCGAAAAGGCTGGAAGGCCAAAATCTCTCCAAACCTTACATGAAATTGACGATTTGGGTCTCTTGAAGCGCTCGGGAGAGGCGTCTTGAGCGTCTCGGAGTGCCTTGGGGGGGTTTCTCGGGCCGTCTTGTGCCTATCTT